TCTAATTAAAATTTATAGGTCATAATTACTTGAATTGCTTCTTTGACTCATTCACTTATTCTGTGCCAAATTGCTAGGATTGATAACAAATTTTCTTTCAAAAGAATTAACACATTTACAACATAATTAGCACAGATCTATTTTCTTGACTTGTCAAACAATTTTCATGAATCTGTGACAATTGGTAAATATTCCAAGAGGAACTGAGGCAAAATTCTAAGAACATCAATAAGCACATAAGTCCAAAAATAGTGAAAAAAAAAAAAAAAAAAATAGTAGAATTGTTAATGGAAAATTGAGTTCTTCATTTCAAACCTTCAGACATCAGCAGGAAGCTGACATATATTTAAAACAACTGTATAAATTATCACACTTTTTTCACAGGATGGATTTACTAATATCCTAAAAAGCCCTAAAAGTAACATGACAACCAGTAGTGATAACAGCCCTCATAGGTAACCATAGACAGTTGCTGATGAGCTTCTGACAGACAGATATGGTTGTCAGCGAAATGAATGATATATGTACTAAATAAGAATATAAAAGGTTGTTACATCCCTCCAAAAAATATTACAAATACAACTTTCTTTATTCATATTCATCCTTTCCCATAGTGTTTGTCTTATGTTATCTTTCATATGTGCAATAATTTCTCTACATGGAAAAAAAATCAGATAAATATATTTTTAGTATGATATCTAGTGTTGTATATAAAACGTTTTCAGTCATAACTCATGTCTAGAATTAATTTCTTTGACTTGTCCTTCCTTGCAGTGTATTATGGTGTTAGTATATCACAGGTATACTAATGCTTAATGTGAGCCTTGGAGACTTGAGAAATCTGAGATATTATATAAATGAATTTTGTAATCATTATACTATCAACATTCACTAAAACTCAGGATGAAAGAGTCTCTAAGTTCTCAGTAATTAATACAAGTATTATCAATATAATTGGACTGTTATATGTATATGTGACTGATGAATTCGAAAAGGCTCTTTATAATTAGGCATATTTACCACAAGGCATGTTTGATATATTTATATTCACAGTTGTATATAAAGTAAATTTCTGATTTTTTTTTATTTTACTTCCAAGCATTGCAATTATAACATCAAAGAATCACTCACAATTGACTAATTATAAAATTGCTGTTATTTCTATTAAAAATATGTCATGGAACAATTTCTTTTTTATTTCTATTGATGTTTTCCTGATCATTAACAAATTTTATGAGACCACAACAGTATCTTTTCAAATCTCTGAGATTTGAAAAGAAGCTGCTCTTGTCTCATAGTTTAAAATTTGGTTGTAGTTTGTAATGAGATAAAAGTAGTTTTATCATTTTGTTATTTTTTGGCTAATCCATGAGTTCTCTTCTCAGCCTGTTGGTTTCAATAAATAGAGAATGATTGCAAAATATTTTCCCCTCCTCAATTTATAGGCAGAAGCACACAAATGCATGCTGGGATTTCTTCCAAGCCAATAAAATAGGCTGGTTTCCTCTGTCTCAGTCCTGGTCTGGTTTGTTTTAAAGTTGGAACTCTATGTTCACTTGTCCAAATTTGCTTTTGTGTGTCAACTCTAATGCTTAGTTTGTGAACTGTTTGCCATATTATTGTTGCTTTGCCTTATTACTGTTAATTTGCCTTGCATATATTGTTTGATTGCTTTCTATTATTTTTTGCCCTGTTCTTTTTTTTTTTCTTGTTAACGCCTATTTGTCAACTCTGTTGGAGAGTTCTGAAATTTATTTACTTTCATCTTAATATTTTTAATTGTTTTCTATTACAGCTTAGTTCAGGCTGTGTTGGTTTCAATCCTGCTAGTAATGATTGCAAAATACTTTCCCCTCTCCAATTTATAGGCAAAAGCACAGAAATGCATGCTGGGATTTCTTCCAATCCAACAAAATAGGCAGTTCTTGGTTTCATCTGACTCAGTCCTGGTCTGTCTTGTCTTGAGCTCTGAATGCTATGTTCACTTTTCCAAATTTGCTCTTGTGTATCAACCCCAATTCTTATTTTGTGAACTGTTTGCTTTACTACTGTTGCTTCATTACATTTTACAAGCCATACAATCTCTTGTCCCTTCAAAGAACCTTCCCACATTTTGTAGATTTCTATTTATACGAATCTATCGTAAAAATGTTGTCAGCATTAAATAACCAAGTGAGGTTGATATGCTGTAAAACAAAATAAACCAAACCAAACCAAACCTGACACCAGACAGCCCAGGGAGGAGACATTCCAAGAAGACATTTTACAAGCTATACAACCCCTTGTCACTTCAAAGAACCTTCCCACGTTTTGTAGATTTCACATCTCAAAAATGTTCTGTGATAATACTATGACAATATTTTATGCATTTGTATATTCAACCCAGATGTCTGCTGGTCAGCTCTGAAAAGTGACATCAAGCCTTCTTGAATCTCCAGCACCCTTATATACTTGAAGACTCTATCAACACCACGGTCTGTACAGACTCGACCCTTCCTCAAATTTCCAACTCATCCAAAATAAACTTTATATTCTGAAACTTTCTCAGCTCCTGGTTAAGATCCACAGATATTTTTTTTTTAAATTTCTGTTGTAATGGAATGTCCCCCACTCCCTATCATATATGTGGCCTGACTATATCAGGAGATATATATAGTGAGTACAGGCTATACCTCGGGGCTTGCTTCATGAATTAGTTGGAGATTCAAAGTAGACTGGGCTCTGTAGCCTTGAGTGGCAGTCATAAAAGTCTAACCTGAATTCAAAACAATAGAGAAGGCATCAGGAAACTACTCCTCTATCTTTCCCATGAAATCATAACAATTTGTAGATGTTTTTTTTTTCTTTTCTTTTTTTTTTTTTTTACTAAAGTTCAGCCAATAAGAAGCTGAAAGTTACCAAATAAGATGTGTGGTATGAACATAAGAAGTGGGAGGAGGAAGTAATGATTATAAGGATAAGGAGGATATATAATGATTGACCCTAGACTTGAAGAAGTTAAGATTGTATTAGATTACAGCAAAAATTTGTGCCAGATTAGAAAATTAAAAACAAAATTTTATATACTGACAAAAAAAATCATTTATTCACCAAGTACATAGTCTCCGTTGTTTTTTAACAAGTTTTACATCATTCTACAAGCTTGTTGATGCCATTTTTATAGAAACTTCATGTTTTTCATGGGAAGAAGGTTGTGAGGTGATTTTTGACTATGCAGAGTCAATTTTTTTTTCATTTAAGTTGTTCTGTGGAGACTGGAGCAAATGTGAATCCAAAGAAGCCAATTTAAGAGAATGCAGTTGGTACTAGAGGGTTTCCCCTTGAAACTTCTTAAGATTCTGCAAGGTCCGTCTTGCAACTTGCAGCCTTGCATTGTCATCATAGAATTTGCCAAAACTGATAATTTTTCTTGAACACAAGTCTGTTCAAATGGCAAAAAGATGAGATAACTCTTAAAAAGCTCTTCCATCAAAATCTTCAGTTTATTCTCTACAATGGCAAGCAAAATATCTTCAATGAAGTTGGATGAGTACCCAGAAAATGGTTGATCATTTAGTTTAAAATCACCCTGACAAAATCTACCAAACCACTTTTTGACTGTTTGAAGAGCAGGAGCACAATCCAAATTTTGAATGATTTTTTTTTTTTTTTTTGCAATTCTGACGCTTACTCCTTTCCAAAATTTATAGAGCATAATATGGCGAAAGTGCAACTTTTCATCCTCCATCTTTAAGGCATTCATTTGTGAACAAAACATCAACATTCAACAAAGTCTGACTTGCACAAAACACCTGGATAATATATGGTTGCTGAAGACATTAGGTCTATAATACCCAGAAATTCATACACAGATGTCCTCAAGGACACATGGCATAGTGGATTAAGGCATTAGTTAGATCCAGTGACAGAACCCAAAGAGTGTGAGTTCAATACACAGCTAAGGCAGTGGAGAAATTTCAGAGGGAAATTAACAGGAGATAACTGATAACTGACATCCATTAAACATGGCAAGTAAAACTAGAATAGTCTACCCCAGTGAGTGAAATAACATTCCAATCACCTGAAGAAGGCTGGAGCGTACAACAGCCGAATCATTGTAATAAATATGGTGACAATGATGAGGACAATAGTCCAAATAATGTAAATAATAAGCACAAAATTATTGAAAAGTTAGTTAATTTTTGAAAAAGATTGAAAGAAAAAATTAAAATATAAATTGGGATTTAAGCGTAAAATATTCAGAAATCTAAATGTACCTTCTAACTTAAATGCAATTCTTCACCATCAAGCAAAATCTTGTCTGTGACCTCAACACCTAAGTAAATGTTTCACATAACGTCTTGTAGTAAAGGGTTCAGTTTGACATTCCAACCACCTGAAGAAGGCCGGAGCATAATGAGGACAATAGTCTGAATAATGTAAATAGTGTACATAAATACCTCATCTCAGAAATATAGACAGATACTGCAGGGCTGAAATGTTGTAATAAATATGGCAATAAAGATGAGGACAATAGTCCGAATAATGTAAATATTGTACATAATACCTCATCTCAGAAATATAGACAGATCCACCAGAAATCTGCATCGAAACAAATGCCAGTGTCAAGTTACCATCATTTTATATTAACAATGAAGATCAGGCACAGACTTTGCAATGATCTGATAGTATTTAAGAAAGTATCTCTGTAGGAGTCTGTTCCACAAAGTAGCAGTTCTTGGGGAAAAAGCTTTTGGGGTGGAACACCCTTCTTACCAAGACAATACATAGGGAATGAGCGTGATGTCAAGGTGATACAACCTTGTGGACATAACAAGGTTCTGATTGATTATTATATCTGATCTTTTTTGGGGATGAAGTGGTTGCTGTGGGGGTTAGAAATCCTATTTTGTCATTTTTATTTTACCAGGACAATTACTGGAGATGTGATTTCTTCTGTTATCTTCTTCTATTAAAAATTGTCTCTAATTTGTTACAGGGTTTTCTCCCTTGGTGAACTTATGGCCATATCATGTTAAAACACATTCTCATATGATCACTGAAGTTAAGCAATGTAGATTCTGGTCAGTACCTAGATGGGTGACCACTTGGGAATACCAGGTGCTGTAAAATTGGATGTGTGGGTGTTGTAATGGATAACAGCTGAGAATTGGAAAATCGAGGTCTGAGTTCCAATTCCATTCAGGGTTCATTATATTCCTTCACACACAAATACCCTTGGGAATGGTATGATTTCACCTCTTCTTTCTCCCTAGCTATGGATTAATTAGTAAGGCTTGTATCAATAAATCATTATTATTTCTTTTTTAAATCTTATATTTGAAAAATAATTTCTGGTTTAAATAATGTGAAAAAGGTTGATAAGCTGTAAAACACCAATCAGTCAATCAATTCTCTCTTTTGTGCTTCTTCCTCAGCTGATGTTAATAAATTTATTCTATCAACAATTCAAAAAAAAAAAAAAAACAGATAAAAACTCTTCTCTTGAATCACTGAGGTGAAAATTGTTTGGTTATCAACCAATAGGGTCAGTAGAAAAAAATCTGTGTGCCACCACTAAGTTCAATCTCAAATCCAGCAGGCAACGTAGTAATGAATAACAAGGTCAGAAATCCAACCTTCCCATCGCAACAGCAGAAACATACTTTCACTCACCAAGCTCAAAAGTCATTCTGATCCCAGTAAGCAAAAGACAACAGCCTTTATTGACTGAATGATTTCGTACGGCTTAGCGTGGTTCGACCAATAGCAAGTCATGTGCTGATTGGTCAGACTATAAGAAGCTATTTGCCTGGGATTGAACATAACGTATTTTGGATTGTATGAACAACATCCAAAGTATAGACTCATTTGACTACAGCAAAAAACCTCCATAAAAGCCACTGTTAAAGCATATACTTTTGGAACACTCTAACATGAAGAGGGGAGGTGCATGCCATTTTCAAGGAACAAAATGTCAATGCTATGTCTCATGTGTTGAGGTAAGGAACTTATTTTCCTTTGCATCAGATGCAAGCCACTCTGACCTGCTTGCTTCTATGTGATTGTTCACCACAGTTGCCAAGCCAACTCTTTGACAAAACAATATTTAAGTACTGTCAAGTATAACCATTTTATGTCCCAACAAATTCAGATATAAACACTTTATATTATTTAATCAGTTGTACCAAAAAAAATCTCTAAACTTATTGTAACAATTAATGCATGTAATTGGTTTCTTTTGTCTTCAAACTAATTCAACTCAGCTGTTTGGGTATCAATAGGATTAGTAGAACCAAAAAAGAATTTGTTTGCCAACACAAAATTCAATCAAAAATCTGTCGTAACAGTCCAGCAGGCAATGTAGTAATGAAAAATGGGGTCAGAAATACAACCTTCACTTCACAACAACAGAAAAACACTTTTGCTCACCAATCTCAAAAGTTCTTCTGATCCCAGTAAGCAAAAAACAACAGCCTTTATTGACCGAATGATTTTTCTGATTGGTTATGCCATTTTCGGAGGAAAGAACATAAGCATAGTTTCTCTGATACATAAAGTAACTGGTTTTTGCAAACTATTTTCTTTAATTCTCCTTTGGCAGACTACACATAAAACACAAACTCATTTTTGAGGTAGGTGATTTTCTCTTTTGTTACAGAAACAAGTCCAGATTGATGAAATCTGAAAAAAAAAACTATATAAAATTCATTATTTTTTATCCATAATGTTGAATATGTGAAGATTATTTAACTTTTTAACAAGAAAAATCTAATGTTGACACTAAAATTATTGTTAAATTATTTAAAATGAAATGATTTATTATGACATGTCTCTAATTTCGTATTTAGATACATTGTATTTATTTTCAATTTTTCTATTTGAATTGTTTACCAATATTGCCCATGATACATTATTGTATATTATTAGGTTACAATAAGATTTGTATTTTATATGACTATTATGTTATGAAAATTGACATATAGCAAAGTTGATGTCCTTGTATCACAGATTGGTGGGGGACACAAGACACTTGTAAGTACTTTCTTAGGGAAAGACTAAGATAGAACTCAAGGGAATGCAGAAAAAATGTTTCAGAAACTATGAAATAAGTAATAGCTGATCAGGTATAAAAAAAAAAGTGAGATATTAAAAGATAATCTTCTGCTCTAATGGACTGAACATCTTTGAAGATATTGCATTGTAAGAACTGAATAATGTTACTTGAGTGAATCAGTGTCATAAATCCTACGTCAATTACCATTTAATGTGTCCACACACAGTTAAACTGATTTCACTTAGTAATGAATAAGAGAAACTGGAATATCCTACTTATATTTACCTACCATGTCAGCCAATGTTTCCAGCCTCATTTTATTCTGTCTCTCTCTCTCTCTCTCTCTCTCTCAACGTAATTGTTTGCTCTACCTGCTAACAGTCTGGCCCACAAAAGTACAACCATTTTAAAAACTGATTAAAATTCATAAGAATGGAGGTATTTCGAAACATGCAATAATAACAGCAAAAATTGCAATATGAGCACTGGTAAAAAATGCTTGCTGAATACATAAGGTTTATAATACCCATAAATTCATACACAGATGTCCTCAAGGCACAGTGGATAAAGGCGTTGGTTAGATCCAGTGACAGGACCCAAAGAGTGTGAGTTCAATACCTGGTTAAGGTGGTGGAGATCTTGAAGTTAACGGGAGATAACTGACATCCATTAGACATGGAACGGGGAACTAGAACAGTCTACCCCAGTGAGCAAAATAAAGAGTTCAGTTCGACATTCCAACCACCTGAAGAAGGCCAGAGCGTACAACAGCCAAAACGTTAAGATGACAACAAAGATGAAGATGATAGTCCAAACAATGTAAATAGTGTATTTTGAATCTGTTTGCTTTATTCCAAAAATAAAATAAAAAATCCTTTCCTTTAACAATCTAAAAAGATTTAACAACCTAGTGAGAAGACAGTATTCTCAGTAAATTCATATCTCTATCGACAAAGAAGGTAAGCAATGAAGAACTTTTAAGGAAAATGAAAATCAAGCAAGGAATACTACCTAAAAGGAGAATGATAACAGTTGAAATTTCTGGAACACAAAATGAGAAAAGAAGGCATGGAAATTTTAACACTCATAGTACATACTAAAAGCAAGAAGGACTCAGGAAAGCAACAAGTAATTTACCTAATGAGAGTGTGTAAATGGATGACATAACAGGGGATGGAAGAGATAGTAAAAAGACAAACATTGTTAAGAGCTATAAAGCATAAGAAGTTGTGGAGGGCCACTACTGCTTATACACTGAAGTTCTATTTTCTGCAAAAAGTGACTGAGGACATGAGTGATAGCACTGTAACTTTACAAAATAGATTCTGTAGCGTCCTAGTGTCTGACAGATATTTAGATACATTTGACTGGGGTTCTAATAATATGGAATACTGCCAGGATTCCTTATTTACTTAGGGTTAGGCAAGCTCAGTCTTAAGTACACTATGTATACTTTTTCCTCCCTTTTTTACTGCAGCTACACCCTTGTACAAATTAATTGAAACAAAATGAATAATTCCATTATTATTTACTTTTTTATAAATTTTTCAATGAAACATGCCCCAGTGCACATGTTAGTACTTTGTATGTCCATTTCACAAAGTCATTCCTTGCAGATTGACCACAGATTCCTGATTGGTTTTAAATCAGGAGAGTTTCTGGGCAAGTCTATAATACTTTAATTTGCTTACTAGTAAGGTTTGCCAGTGTGTTCATGCAATATTACAATTTTCATAGGCTTTGTTGAACAGACAATACCTGTAGGACAACTAATCAACAGTGGAGACAATAGTGTTTGGGCATGATAAAAATCTGATGCAATCATGCATGACACAATATTTTTCAAGGCCAAACAAATTTTATCATACACCCGAAAATATTACCGCACATGACCTAATCTGAGGAAAAATAGAAATCAATTACACCCTGTCACTCCAGTGGGTCTAAAACTGACTGTATGATGAAAGAAAGGAAACTAAAGCATTTGTTTCAATTAAATTGCACAAAGGTGTATATATTAAGTGCAATAAATTGTAGTAAAAACAGAACCAGTGAATAAACTTATACCAAAGCTTTATTGCACATTATTTTGACTACGCATCTACTGACAGATATATAGAGTGCTTTTTATACATCCTAGATCTTAAAGGGAGGTAACTGATGATTTATGAATATACTGTGTACAATAATGCAGCAAAAATGTTTTCCTTTTTTGCCAATCTGACATTATCTAAGCAAGAAGTACAGCAATCTGTTGAGCTATTGATGGAAGCATACCCAGAAGATATTGACCTGAAACTTACTGATGAACTTTTGAACTTTCACATATACATGAGACAAAACCATAGACCTACAGAAAAGCACCCTGTTTCATACAGGCCTTCATCAAATTATATACAAGGAAAACATTCTGGTGACCTTCCTTAATCTTGAAGAAATCTTGCAGCTCTTTCTAACCTTAAAGGTTACTTAATTGTCAAGATCTTTTCAAGATTCAAAAGAATTGAAAATGAATTCAAGGGCTCGGGTGAGGTTGTCTGCACTGAGCATTCTATGCATTGAAAGTGGCAAACAAATTTTGATGAAATTTTGGGTGATTTTGCTATGACGAAAGCCAGAAAAACACTTTTTAAATCTTAGCATATTTGATGATTTCAGCTTCTTTATTTTTTAATATGTATCTTAAAGCCGACTGTTTAATGACAACAGAAGGCAGGATCGAAAAGTGCCAGACTGTCACTGACAGGTAGTCATGATCATCTTATTAATACTTCACAGGCAATAAAATTTCTAAGATCTGGTTTTTAATGCTTCCAGATAGCTACCCTGTTGCCTTCTCCTGTCTCTCCAGTCATTGATATGCTCTGTGAAGATAAAGTTATCCATGATCTATTTCCTCATTATGTTTCCAATAAACTTCTGCTGTCTTATTTCTGATTCTGAGTAGAAATGATCTTTTTGGTACTGTTTAAGAATTCTGTTGCTTACTCACTTCATCCATGGAATTCTCAATTTCCTTCTGTAGAACCACGTTTCGGCTGCCTCTTGTTTTCTCCTCAGCCATGTAAAGAC